CACTACTGGAAATAACAAGGAATAACGGCCGTAAGTTGACTGGGAGTAGATTCAGGCTGGACATCAGGAGGCACTACTTCACTGTCAGGGCGGCTAGGAGCTGGAACCAATTTCCAAGGGAAGTGGTGCTCGCTCCTACCCTGGGGGTCTTCAAAAGGAGGCTAGACAATCACCTAGCTGGGGTCATTTGACCTCAGCATTCTTTCCTGCCCATGGCAGGGGGTCGGACTTGATGATCTGCACAGGTCCCTTCCGACCCTACCAACTATGAAACCAACTATGAAACTATTAGGGCAGGTACTTGAACATGGGTCTTCTACCCAACAGGCTATTGGCACCTTCACTCTCTGGTCATTTTTCTAGCTTTCATGGGTTGTGACCAGCAATTGCACCCTAGCCCTAAGAAATCTTGCCCCAAGATTATTCCTTCATACCCATGAATGTTTCAGTGTTTCAGTGAATCACTGTTTTTTAATCAAAAAAAAAAAAAGTGCCATTTGAAAAAGTCCTGACCAGTTCTATTTGTGCTTCATTTCAAGCAGATATCTTCTTCCTAGAAAAGTGATGGTAGAAGTGGGTAGGTGGAAATGAAATGTAAAGAAATCTTGAGTGCCTGCAGGTGGGCTAATCATACTGCTGTGCAAATTTGCACTGACTGCTAAGCAACAAAGAGCATGTTCGACAGGGTGAGCATTCTGTACCCTGAGGCGGAATTTTTTGGTTTTGTTTCCTTCAAAACCAGGTGTCCAATTTCCCTGTGGATTTCATCTGGGGAGAATTTATCCCTGGTAAATAACTATTCGTGTTGAATTTATAGATGAGCTAAACTCTTTGCTTTAATGCTGCGGTTTAGTACCTCTTTCCTTCTCCGTTTTGCATAAGCATCAGTGTTGGAGGGAAATAAATCTGTCACTCACATAATGTATTTGCCCTTGGTATCAAAATATATAAATAAAAATTACAAGGTCATTAACCATATCAAAGGAAAGAAAAATGTGCCATACATTATATGGCTGGGTCAGGCAAATAGCAATATACTGAAGTGTACTGTGCATTTTCTATTCAGATCATGAAAATTAATTGACTCCTTTTTGCACTTCCTTTTTGCAGTGGAAACTCTAGGCATATGTCGGTCCAAATTTATGAGCAGTGTGTTTTCTTGTGCATTTCATTTATCAAATGCAAATTCCTGTGACCAGTGATTTACTGCACAACTGCTTGGAGGGCAACAAATAAATAAATATTATCTTGATAAGTATTCAAAAAGCAGAGCAGAGGGATAAGATTTTATCTGCTCTTCTCCGAGCAATTTATCTTGGTCTCCAAGAAGGCAGGCTCTGTGTAGGTACAACTTCGCTTGTCCTATCATGGAGTCTAACTTGCTTGGAAAATAAGTTGTTATCCTCAGCAACATGTGGCCTTGGAAAGCTATGGACTATTGATTGTATTTTATCTTTTATTTACTTCAGTAAGATCATTTTTTTTTAGAGAGGTTCCCTAGGGAGGTGGAGAATGTACCACCCCTCTGTGACTCAGAGCCATCTTTGGAAAATTGTTCCTTCTTTGTTTCCACTGTCTGTATTGGGTAGGAGAAAGACAACAGAAAAATGTATTGATAGGCCTCCCCAGCAGTGAATTATTATTCACTGGCTGGGTCTACACGTGCGCCTTACTGTGTGGTAGACTAATCAGCTGCAGAGTAAAGCGTCACTGTCTACACGTGCAATGGTATTAGGCCTCAGTTAACTAATTAACACTGTTGGTGCAGAACTATCTTGCAGTGAAGTAATTAACTGTAATTAAATGTGCATATAGATGCTGGCCATGGGCATAAATTGTGCCCAGGCAGCAGGGGCCAGACTCCTGTCTGCCTGCTGCCTAGCCACATGGCTCTGCATTTGCAGCACCCTTGTGCCCCAGCCAGCCCCTCCACTGCCTACCACCCTCACCAAGAGCCCAGAGGAGAACAGGGCAGGAGTGGCCCTAGTGTAAACTGCTCTGCCCCAGCTCAAATTGCTACTTTCCTGGGCCCATGTGTAGATGCTGTGCCCAGAAGTAGTTATGTCCAGCTGCTCCAGGGTTTATTGCTTCAAATTAATTGTACACGTAGCTGCACCCACTATGTAGCTGGGTGAAATTAGTGCTGTGTGTAGGTCCCAATGCTTTGTGGCCACTTGCTTCCTGCAGAAGCTAAGTGGGCACGTAGCATCTACTCTTAAATAACCAGACCTCAGTTCTGCCTAGTATACGTGGTTTGATCAAAAAGTTCTAAGACTTGATGTTTGGGGTATTGTTCATCAGGAATTTGTACCGAGTGGTCAAACAATCAATCAGGCCTTTTATAAAGAGGTTTTGATTCGATTGAGGGATAAATTTAGGAGAAACCGCCGCGAGCTGTGTGAAAATGGTCGATGGTTTCTGCACCGTGACGATGCTCGTTCACACACTGCTGTCTCCATTCAAGAATTTTTGGCTGAAAAAAACATTCCTGTGATACCACACCCTCCGTAGTCACCTGACCTTGCCCCATGTGATTTTTTTCTGCTCCCAAAAATCAAAATGAAGCTGAAAGGAAGGAGATTTGATGACATTCTAACCATATGAGAATGTGAAAGCGGAACTCAAAAAACTCACAGTTGAAGACTTCCAGCATTGCTTCTGAAAGTGGCAGGAACGTTGGGACACGTGCATATCATCTGGGGGAGATTCCTTTGAAGGGGACAGCTCATAAAAATGTTGTTTGTACACTATTCTTTAAAATAAAGCCTAAGTCTTAGAACTTTTGGATCACCCCTCGTATGCAGGGGTGTTTGAAAAAAAAGTTCATCCTCACTCATTACTCCCTTGTGCAGGCATGAAAATAGAACAAGGAGGAAGCTTGGCCAATGAGCTCACCCTGAAACAGTTGAGGAATGAATTTGAGAGATAAATATAAGTAATTTGTACCTGTGGTGAACTTCAAGGAATAAGAGTCACTCCAAGGGAAGCTTATAGTGATGTGTGAGTGGCTGGGTGCAGATGTCTACCACCCTGTGTTAATTCATTCAGTGCTGAGACTAGAATCTTATTCCCAGGCAACTTCCAGTGGCAGTTCTGTTCCAACCAGGTAACTCAGTGATCAAATAAGGCTAAAGGCAGCAATTGCTTATAAGGAGAGAATGGTTCAACTGAAAATTGAAGAAGTTTGTGGGAGGGCAATTTTTTTTAAAAATGGGAAAATCGCCTGATTTTTGAAAAAATAGAGCATGCATATGTATAGTGGGGAAATGAATGTGTCTTCCAATGGCTTTCTGTTCATATCTTTCATGTAGATAATTCCTTTCATTCTCCTCCCTGTCTAACCAAAAGGTGTGCTTCTGTCTTCTGCATAAAGGCCCTTGTGTTGAATTCCTCAGCTGGTACGCTCATGCACACTTACATGTACATAATCCACCTTCTTTTAGAAATGGTCAAACTGGAGCTAACGCAAGTGCATTTGTTTATTTGTGGGGTGTAGGTTGTAGCTGTGTTGTTCTAAGGACATAGGCAGACAAGATTCTTTGCATTAATCTGGTATCTTTTCTTAGACCAACTAAAATAGTTGGAAAAATTCTTCTTTGCCAGCTTTTGGGTACAAATACCCTTCCTCTGGCTGAGGAAGTCTTGCAGTTGTTCTGACAGATGAAAGAAGAATCTTTCCAACTATTTTAGTTGGTCTAATTAAAGATGTTGGATTTACCCAAAGAACCTTGTCTGCCTTAGTTTATTTGCAAATTTCCTGCCAAAACTGATCCCCAATATATACGATATGGAATATGATGACCCCACCTAGACCCTCAGCTGAAGGACTGACTTCGCTGGAGTTGTGGCAGTTTATATTGGTCAAATTTGGTCCCTGACATTCACGTCTCCAATTTTCTCCTTCAGTAGTTGTTCTGCCTAAGAACTGAAAGAGTAGCATTGTTATCTCAAGCTCGCAGATGTTGATGTGTCACTGGAGACAGTATCTTACAATCAACAACCATGTCAGCCTGCTTTTTTGGGGAAATTTCTCCTTGTTTCATGGTTTCATCCTCAAATTCTCACAGGTCTGGCAGTGCGGAGGAAGCATGGAAGTCTTACCTTGCTCTAGAGTGGCTCACATTGAACGCACAAAGAAACCTTACAACAATGACATTGACTACTATGCGAAGCGCAATGCCTTGCGAGCTGCTGAGGTCTGGATGGACGACTTCAAGTCACATGTTTACATGGCATGGAATATCCCAATGACAGTAAGTGAAGATCACATCATATATCCTAAATGGAGGCAGAGAAGCGTAAGTGTCTGCTTTGAGTTAGCACCATTCGCACTTGATGTATGAGGGCTTTCAAGGCAGCAAACATTTGGAACAAAAACTACCATCTTAATTTACCTCCCCAGAATAAGTTAAATTGAGCGTTGATGAGTGGTGACTCAGATGGCCTGGCCTTACAGATGTACTTCCTGGGAATAAGTTGTTAATTAGGAGGACATTATTCTTCAAGGTGCTCAAATGTTACAGTCCTGCCAGACTGTATAAAGATTTTGCTGCTTTGTGCTTGTCAGTGGAATTTATTGGTGTAAAACTGTGTATCAGACAGGGGAATGAGGCCCTGACTTTATCTTAATTTGGAGATCGGTGACTATATTATAGACAGGTTGCTCTCTCCTACTTTGCATCATATATTACTGAGAAGTGCTCATCATGGTTGCTTCCTCTAGGAAATGTTAGGGAAAATATTACTAAATAAAAATAATAAATTAACTTCCTGTTTGTCTGTGATGATGCATCAGTTGAGAAAAACTGTAAAAGATGAGACATTTGGTCTTGCATGATAATGTCATGGGGAAGCTGATTTGCTTTTTTGTCTGCTTTGTCCTTTAGTGGCTTTTTGTCCAAGTAGTGTACGTGGAAAAAAACAGACAAGTTAAAACACATTAAAATCATTTAATAATGGGAGGTGCATAGTAAATTCTTCATCCAAGCTCACTGAAGTAAATGGAAAGACTCCTATTGAATTCTGTATATATGTGCTTTGGATCAGGGCCTGAATGAGGAAAAAGTCAGGTGCACACCTGTGAATGTTTAATGTTATGCTGTAGGACCCACTAAAGTTAATGAGCATCTTTATGTTGACTTCAACAGATTTGGATTAGTCCCTAAATACCTATATTAATGATATACCTTCACAAAGCAGTATTTTGGGTGTTAAATTAAATACCAGAATCTAGGCATAGATGCAAAGAATCTAGGTCCCCTTCAGATGAACATACTGTCCAGACTGCATAAATTTAGAGGAGCCATGCTCCATCCATTTTGCTGCACATGACCGCAAGTTGGACACTGAAGAGTACGTCCAGTGGGTCACTGTTTCAGCTGTTAGTGTTTCACATATGAACTAATTTTCTATGGAAGATACTTCTCAAGTGAATTAAAGCGCCGCATCTTTTTGCATGAGGCAGTTGTCTAGAAGTCTCTTCACTTCCTCTGTATTAACTTGTGTCAAACAAGGTGATGGGAAAGACAAAGACATCTGCATCAATAACACAAATATTTTCTTTTCCACCCATCCAGACTCTGTTTGCATTTCTTTGAACGGCCTCTTAGTTTTCTGATAGAAAGAGGAAAAAATAACTCTGGTAAATTTATTTGCTTGACAGTTTCCACAAATGAAAATAAAAAAGGCATTTAAATAAACATTTACACCTAAACATGATTCTCTTTAATCTCTCTAAGATTAGCTTTGGATGCAGTTCTCTGCACTGAACTAGACAGCGGTGCTTTGAAAAACTAGGCATGTCTACATTAGGAAGCATAAAACTAGCAAGAAACATTGTACATTAAAATTTACTTTCCATAAAAGAAATTGATTGATAAAATGCACATCATAAAAATAACCCCATTAGTTCTTGCCAAGAGGAAGTGAGGATGCTACTATTTCACAGATCTTATGCACTGTGGTATTCAGGCTATGAGGAATAAAAGGTACCGTACACTTATTAACAGACATATAGTTGATAGAGGACTGGAAAAATCACCAATTAGTTTCAGAGCATGAGCTACACAGTTCACCCACATAATAAACATTGTGTGCTTCCTTAACACCATCACATAGCATATAACACAATTACTTACTCTATAATCTGCGCATAACCCTACATCTTACATCAGACAAATACAACAATGGTAACAGCTGCTCATTACACTGGCTTCATGTTCAGTTGGAGGTAAGAGTAGGACTCCTAATTATGAAGTGGTGAGTACTACTTACTAGCAAAGTAGTAGCATTGCTGAATCCTATCATATCAGAATTAGTCCACGTAGCACTCTAATTCACCTTACCCCTTCCATATTTGATCAGTATGTCAAGCCACCGGAGAATGGCATGCATCCTGACTAACAGACGGTCCATCAACACAATAACAAAACTGCTCCTATCAACCTGAACACTTCAACAAGACAAGGAAATATTCTTTCCATCTACAAAAGATTTGGTTTACCCCTTCCTGTGATCTATTCCCTGCTGATTTCAGGGATCCAGGAATCTTGCTTTATGTGATTGTTATGGTATTAGCTGCATACAATTCATGTAATGCTGTTTTTTAGGGTAGCCTTCATTTGAATGGATGTTGCATAGAAAAATCCAGGCAAAATAGGTACCCACAAGTGGCAGTGAGTACAGCAGAACCTTTGCATAATAAATAGAAAAGGCTTTTCATTGCTAAACTTGTATTCTCTGTCAGAAAGTGTATCTCTGGTAGGGATTCTAATAAACCTGCAGCTAAGATTTGCTGCTGCCTTGTAATCCTGTATTGGATACTGTCTGTAAAGCACTTAGTGATCTTTCTGCAGGAAATGTATATGGTATTTCAATTTGAGCCAGGTAAAACTTGCTAGTTTCAGTTCATAAAGCAAGCAGAAGTTGAGACGGATATCCAGGTGACGTATATCAACACTTAAGTCTTGCTTCTTATCATTACATCAGTAGAGCTCTGCTGTTTTTTACTGGCCAAGGATTTGGTCCTCTTTTCGGTTTGGAACAAAGTGAGGCTTTCATTCCACCTGTATTTTGTGCTGAATGCTACATTCCAACGTATGCAAAATCTCAAAGCAAAATTCCACCACTGATAGTGAGTTTTTTTTACCTTGTGTTGCATCAAACAAACTACAGGTCCACAATTCAGCCTGGAGTCATTGGACATTGGATGAAGATCTATTCAAAAGTTTAATGAGCTTTAATGAACCTTTTGACAGGTCTGTGTTGAGTTTTGAAGGCTTGATTTCATTTACACTGGTGGAGCTGTATAGAAGTTACTGGTATTAAACCACTGAAAGGCTGTTATAGCGTATGTCAGAATTAGGCCCAGAATTTACAGGGGAGTTAAAGTTATATTGTAAAACATTAGCAGAGCTGTATTTGCAGCTTCTCTTCTCTTTTTTTTTTAAGGTTCTTTTTTAATTTTTCTTTTGCTATGGTTTACATTTGTTTTTCTTTATTAGTTTCTCTTCTTTTTCTAGTGAAGTTCCGTTAATATTTATTGTCGGTTCTCAAAGGCTGTTCAACGAGTTGCTGCTTACAAGGGAAAGTGGGAATGGGGGGAATGTAACTTGTAAACAGAATGAACTCCAATTTAGTTTTATGTAAAGAAGACTACAGTGTAGTCATTGTAATGGGATTTCTCTGTTATATTTCTGCTTTGCAGAACCCAGGAGTTGACTTTGGAGATGTTTCAGAAAGAATAGCTCTACGGCAGCGACTGCAATGCCGGAGTTTTAAGTGGTACTTGGAGAATGTTTATCCTGAAATGAGGATTTACAATAATACAATCACTTATGGAGAGGTACTGCATGTCTTTGAAAATACATCATAACTGTTTTAGAGCATTCCTTTCATCTTAGTGAATGGGCATCAGACAACACAGTGAAATTTAAAATTGACGCAATAGCAGGAACACAAACACTTTTCTATACTTTTTAAATCAAGTCTAGAAAGTGTAGGCTTGTGAAGTGTTCCCCCTCTTCCTGGAGTAAATAAGATTAAATAACTCTTATGAACAATGAAATGCAGTTTCTTGGGTTTTAGCTAACAACAGCCCTAAGAATGTAAATTCAAGAGTAATTTGTTCAAAATGGGACAGCACAAATGAGAGCATCACAAAGTTTGCAGTTGAGACAGCCCAGGTAGTTAATCAAAAGTAGGAAGAGCACTGGCTTTGTTCCTCTTTGGATTCCTCTAAGATCTTTTGATGGAGGGGGATCACTTTCTGAAAATCCTGGTAACTAGGAAAAAAATCAAATATCACTGTGAGAAGATGAATGTAGACTACAAGTGGGAGAATTTTGCATTCAAGACAAGTATCCAGGTTGTATTGTATTGGTCTAGAGGCAAAACAAATCAAAACGCATGGAAAAAGTGATCTCTTTTATGAGACCAACTAGATATTTGCAAACAATTATTTTATTTATTTGCAAGCTTTTGGGCACACTTGCCCTTCGTCAGGCATAGAAGAGAGCAGAGATTGTAAAAGTTCTAGGTAGAAATGAAAATTTATATTTCACAGGAGAGCTGAAAGTGTGGTAAAATCTCCTGTTTGAAATATTTGATTTTGTCCAGGTTAGGCGCAGAGAAAGGTTGAAAAAGTCTTTTTACCTCAAAGTTGTCTGGTGGCAAGCAAGATGTAGAAGCATATCTCCTTCAGGTTACAATATTTCACAGAAGAGTGGAAAGATGGAAGAGTTTTTGATTCCTTTTGCATTCAAAACAAGTAACTCAAAGTAGAAATCATCACTGTTAGTTCCATTTAGGTTCTTCTCTTTTACTTTCACCTCTCTTCCAAGGCTGAATAATATCTTACACAATCTAACTGAATTTTCTATAAGTAAATGGATGAGCCCAGATATAATAGAACTTGGAAGAGGTTTAGATTTATGCCCAAACTTTGTGGCTTAGTCCTTTCTCTTATAATAGTCACTGAAATAGCCCTCCTAAAAAACTGAAATAGCCCTCCCTAAAGCTTGAGGCTAAGTACAGACAGTCATAAAGTCCAAGGCTGAATCAGTTCAATCTTTGTAGGTTAATCTAAACTGCATAGATTGAACCAATAAGCAAGTAAACAAACATTCACTTTTGATTCCAGGCGTGCAGCCACATGCCTGCGGTGGCCCAGGCCAGAAGCCAGGGGGAGCTAGAGCACATCCCTGCTGACAGATTGGGCCAAGGCTAGCCTATCCCCCCCACCTTTGCAAGGGGAAGTGGGGGGGTGCAAAGCATCCTGGGATGCTGGGGGACTGTGAATTAACTTGAAACTGGAAGGGATCTGGGACAGAAGTTCAATAACCTGACGTAACCTAAATCAGTTAAGTCTGATACTACATCCATCCAGGTTTATCTTAAACTGGCTTTGTCCATTCTGAAAGCAGCTTATGTGCAGTGAACTTCTGTTGTGTTACAGGTTTGAGCTGGTTTCCAATCATTTATACTGCTCTATGTGTAATTTCTGTCCCTAGCCTGAAAGTGTTTCTTCAAATTAAGCTCGTCCATAAGGCTTTGCTTTTTGGTAAACATACAGACAGGTTATAGCATAATTTTCCATGCAGTAAGGACTAGTGTGACTTCTGCCTGCAAAATGGGGGGAGTAAAAACTCCCCTGTTGCATAATTGTTAATAAAGATTTTTTTTTTTTAATTTCCTGCTTAAGTTACCTTTAAATCCTTAGGCAGTGAGGTTTCATGCAAGGGGTAAATGGCTTCCTTCCTTCCTGTTCTGTTTGATTGAATTCATATAAAAATAGGTGAGTCACTTTAGATATTGATGCAAAGTGCAGGTTTTATTAGGTAATATCACTTTGCATCTTAATATTACTATCCCTGGCAATAACTGAGGAAAGACATTTAGTAAATTCAACATAAGCTATTAGTAACCGGCAGATCCTAGATGGTTATAAACTGAGAAGCACATTGGTGCTATTGCCAAAGTCATGTCAATTACACAAGGCTTTCTGCCATGATAAAGGAATCTGTTCCCATTGGGTGGTCTGATATAAGGGAAGCTTGAGGATGTAAGCCTTTTATGTATTCAAATTTATAGTGATAAAGAGCCATGGCCAAACATTTAACTGGTAAAAACTGGCATATCTCCAGTGGAGTCTCATGCCTTAAAATGAAATACACTGTAGCTAAGTAGATGTATTCTCTTAAATGACAAGGCCTGTTATTAAATATCTTCCCTTCTGATTATTTCCTTGAAGAAAATGTGGTTACTATAGTCTCTGGATTTTAGTGAGTTTAAGGAAAATAAATGTACTGAGTAGACATAAAACAGATGGAAACAGTGGTAAAAATATATTTCATACTGACTCAATTCACAAATGTTAAGGCTCTGTCATAAAGCTGTCTTCATCTTCTTTAGCCTTTATAGTACCTTAGTCATAAAATAACCATATTGAAGCTTAACTGTTGGTGTACCTTAATTCCCTATCAAACTGCCTGTTGTGCTTACACAGTATGTAGAATGGAGGATTATTTTTAGGATTGCTGATATTCTGTGTATGATGTTTCATTATACCTCTTGAGTAATTACAAAGTCACATATATTACATGGGGTGCATAAAAATTTGCATGATCTCAAAAGCAAATCTTATGGTTTCAAAATGTTCAGTTAAAGAATGCAAGTTTTGTTTCCCGGTATTCCGTGCTCTCAGTTCCAAGACTGATAAGAAAGCCTACTTGCATGGTATTTCTAACCTGATTAGGATGAAAAAAAACACCTGAAGTCTCTCAAGACTTCCAACACAATTTGGGAGATTTAAAAATTCAAATGTTCTGGAGAAGCATCTGAGCTTCTGGCCTGTCATGTACCCAAGCTATCCTTTTTCTGATTCCTGTAATCTTATTTAATGTCATTGTTTTTCAAAAGGACAATACACCAAACACAAAACATGGTATCTGTGATGCACTTGATAGGTTCTCAACTCAAATGAGCTCCTTTATATATACACTTCTGCTTTCTATGCACGCTACACTGAAAAATAACACACCAGAAAACTCCCTGGCTGCATCTACATGTGCAGAGTGGACTAATTAGATCTACTGTAAAGTGTCAGTGTCTACACGTGCGCTGGTATTAGGGCACAGTAAACTAATTAACTCTGCCATAAGATAGTACTGTCAGGGACCTGTCCTGATCTCCACATGGCTGGGAGAGCTGTCCTGGCTGCTGGGCAGCTGCCTCCCAGCCACGAGGAGATCAGGACCTGTGCGCTTCAGCAAATTAGTGTAATGCACTGATTTCTAGTACCTATACCTACAGGTACTAGAAAACAGCACATTAGACTAATCTACTTCATAGTAATTGCTGCATATGCATAGACAGTGATGCTTTACTGCACATTAAACTAATCTAATGCACAGTAAAGCATCTCATGTAGAGGTGCCCTATTTGGGGCAAAATTTGACCTGCAGCTTTCAAAGTGAATTTGAGTTGTTTCTGCTTTTTTGCACAATTATTTTGCAAAAATAAAAAAATGACCCAAGTTAATAATCCTGTAAGATTACAGAACATTCAAATAATACAGCTGTGGCTTTTCACATGGGGAATTCACTGTCAAAGACTTTAAGAGGTGTCCAAAGGAAGAAGTAATGGAGTGTCAGAGTTGGCGAATGAGAATATTTTTCTCTCTTGAAGCAGTGTTCAATGTCTTGGCACAGTATTTGCTTTGGTAATTGTAATGTGACAAAGCTTCAGACAAGCAGGTTTGCTTTCTGTGAAGGGGTGACTAAAGCGATGGGTCTCTACTTTGATTGTAGGTTCGTAACAGCAAAGCTAGCGGCTACTGCTTAGACCAAGGAGCAGAAGATGATGACAAAGCAATCCTCTATCCGTGCCATGGAATGTCCTCCCAGGTAAATTAACTAAAATTTATTTAACCCTCAACAGTTAGAAAGCTTTGAGACCCATGCAAAGAAACCTTCAGAGGAAACAAAAGTATGATGCAATTTCTTTGGGGAAAATTTAGGAATTTTGGCCCTGCTAGCTCATTTTTTCAGTGGTACACAAAACTTGCTTCTAGTCAACTAAAACAGGTTGAACAAATGACTTATTTAAACTGGTGCAGACTCCTATGTGTAAACTTGTATCAGTTTGAAACTGGCTCATTTTGGTTCAGCTTGCATTTAGTTCAAAAATGTCCACCCTATATTTTGTAGTGCTCAATAGAGGCCAGATCCTCACACACATTTGCAATGCCTTTGTTAAACCACTTTAGTTCTACTGATTAAAAGCCTCGTGTAAACACTCTCATTTGGGTATGAGTGTCTTATTTCAATTTGGTTTAACCCTGATGCTAATTCATTGAAATTACACCAAAATAAGCCTGTGTAAATCAAAAATAAGAACATCCACATATCTATTCACACTCTTATGCATATAAGTAGTCCCCCTGAACTCCATTAGATCCCTCTCCATGAGATTGCTTAGTGAAGTCAATGGAAGTCTTTCAACTTTGTGTGGTTAAATTAAGCATACTCATGCTTGCAAAATTGGGTCGTTGGTTTGATTAGCACTGTAGAAAAATAAGTGCAACACTCACAAGAAATGTCAATGGATGGTTCGAATGGAATACTTTCCTGGAAAAGAAGGCAATCAGACTGCATGACACATCTTGTACATGACTATGATTTTGTAGTCAAAACATTCCATCTATTCATATGCCAATAGGTTTCACAAAAACCAAGCTTTAGACAAAAAAAGTCTTTTCATCACTGAAGACTATTTTTCACTTCATATACTTCCTTCCTTCTGTTTCCAAAGCCCAATTAAATTAAAACATAAAATAAAATAAGATACAATAAAAAATAAAATAATAAAAAAGACCTCCTGCTGCAAGCAAACTGCAAGTAAAAGTTAGGGACCTGATCCAACCCCACTTGAAATCACTGGAAGGGCTTCCATTGATTTCTGTGGCCGTGTCTAGATGAGCAGGGGCATACACTTGGAGTGGCACAAATTGCCTCAGCGCATGCCCCAGCACATACACTTCATCTTGGAACAAACTGTCCAGCAATGGGCAAACTGCCCTGTCCCAGCTCCTCTGGGCTCTTCAGCCAGGGAGAGCTGGAGGCTGGGGCCAGCACCTGTTCTTCCCTCAGGAGTCTTACCTGATGGCATGCTGGGGCAGCAGTGGCACAACTTGGGCAGTGTAGAGGCCTGGCCAGGAGCCAGAACATTGCTCTGAACAGCCTGGCCTCTGTTTGTGCCAGCGCACACTTACTTTACATGCTTTGTGCCACTTTTGTTTCCAGGGCTTTTTAGATACCAGGAAATCCCAGTAGCAAATTTTGCCACCATGCTGCAAATTTGCATCACCACACACATTTTGATGTTCACAATATAAGGTTTGTGGATCAACAAACCACATGCCCCTGCTCATCTGGACATGGCCTCTGGGCACTGGGCTGGACCCCGTGGGAATTTTGCTGCAAGCTGGGGATCAGGCTTCCAGGACAGTGGTTCTCATCAGGGCTGCTGTAGCACCCTGAGGTGCCATGAGACTCTTTGGAGGGTGCCACGGCACACAAGGAGATAAGCGCTTGCTCTTCTCTTCCTGGCTCCTGTGCAAGAAGGTAAGCATAAGCTCATCTCTGCGTGGCTCAAGTGAAAGGAGGTAAGCACGCACTTGTCCTGCCCCCGTGTGAGGAGTTAAGTGCTCGCTTCTTCCATGCTCCCCTCACCCTTCAACCTGTGTGAAGAGCTAAGCACAGGCTGGTCTGCCCAGGTCCAGTGCAAGTAGGTAAACTTGTGGTCATCCCTGTCCTGTTGCTCTGTGAGGAGCTAAGTGCCCACACTCCCCGTGCCCTCCATGCCCCTGTCCCGGGAGTTAAGTGCTACAATAAAATAAGTTGTTATTGAAATGGAGTGCCATTCAGTTCACAGGAGTTATGGAAGGGTGCTGAGCTGGAAAAGGCTGAGAACCGCTCTTCTAGGATATGCCTCTAACTTTGTCAATTAGCTACTCCCTGGTCACCTACCTGGCCCTCTGTAGGTTTCTAGTGTCCTAAGAGTATGTGTGCAGACGCTTAGGCTACGTATAGATGCACTGTTTCACATTCTGATTAGAGTGTGTCCAAGCAGGCATTGATTAATCAAGTCTGCCTCACATTCAAAGCTAATTAGAATGCCCCAGCATCACTTCACTGTCATGTGATTTAAACCTCCACCCCCCCACCCCCTACCCCCACTGCATTTTAAAATGGTTGATGGGAGGCTTTAACTAAAGCTTGTCGAATGAGCTTTAGTTAAAACACCCCTGTGGCCATTTTGAAACACAAGGGGCTTAATACACATGACAGCAAGCCGTTTTAATTAGAGCAGCTGTCAGGGAAATGTTCCAATTAAAACACCCTCCCCCCGTCCCCCCTTGATCATGTGTATAGGAACCCTTAGTTCCTCCACACCTGTACAATATCAGTACATGCCAGGTCATGTGTTTGTGAATGTTTCCTTCAAAAGGACCCAGTGTGGGGTTATCTGAGTGGGCTGCACAGGTTATTTTGTGAATGCTGGTGATGCTGTTGTCATTTGTATTAATCAGTTGCACTTACGATAATGCATAGAGGCTCTGCTTAGGACTCCATTGTGCCATTTGGTGCATGGACCAAGAATGAGATCCAGCGTCTGTCCCGGAGAGCTCAGAACCCAGATGGACATGGTATACCTCATGTGGCGGGAAAGGAAATCTTATTAATCTCAATGTACTGATGAGGAACTAAGAGAGTTTTAGGGCCCAGGAGTGTGTAGGCCTAGTGGAATTTTCAAAGTTTCCTGAGCAAGTCAGATACCTAACTGTTAATTGATTTCAATCCATAGGACAAGCTAGCTAAGGAGTTACAAGACCCTGCCCTTGATGATGTAAAGAAACCTTCTGAAATGTATTTTTAAAAGAATTACTAAACTGGGATAGAATTTACACTATGCTCTGGTTGTGCATCACTTTTCTCCAATAGGAGAATGGGATACTAGGCACGACCTGCTGTAATTATGCCACAAAAACTTCTCTGCATTCCAGACAAAAATGTCTGGCTTCACTATGACAACTTCACTGAACAAAATCCAGCCACTTTGCGCATATTGCCTTAATCAAAGAACCATGTAACTTAGCAGCTGAATATATGTGCTGAAGATGCCAATTAAAATGAAAGGCCAAAATATGCTAATTTGCCCTTGTAATTTGGGGAGTCACTGCATAGTACCAAATTAAGCAAATTAAGGTTTGATTCTTCAGCTGTTATTTGTGTTCATTATTCCTTCCTCACCAGAATTGTCACGTTCGCTTAAATAATTTTTGGATTGGACCCATATGGCCCTAAAGCGCATACATCAATTTTTTATGAGTAGGTATAGCATTAAGTACATGTTTAAAGATGATTTTAATGGGATTTAAGCAGAGTAGTTAAGTTAAGCCTATCCTTAAGCCCTTTCCTAAGGAAGTTTGCTTTCCTGGATCAGTTCCTGTACAAATATCTTGAGGGATGAAATTGCTTAATTCTGTGCTTATACTGATGTTACTTATTTTTAATGAAAGTCAGATATTATTTAAATACAGAACTCTGGCTTTTTTTTCCTGAAATGTCATTTTAGTTTCTTTTAAGTGTCATCTAAATCAGAACTGCATTAATGAACATTCATTCATGCATAAATAAATTCTGACCTTATCATGGACTTAAACAATTAACTGAAGTTCAGCCATACACATTACTGACTTGGAATCCTCCCTTGTAGATAACCATGGAGGCATAACAAGATTTGCAAAATATAAATATTGCCCATTGTGGTTAATTGCAAGCTGGTGACGGGTCACACCTTATTAGAGAAAAATAAATAGACATTCAGTTCCTACTGCCAAAACGTCCACCCTTGCTAGGTTCATTATGGGACACTTGACTGACACCTTCACAGTAAATTTAGAGGAGTAGCCTTTGATTAAGATAACAAAATAGAGTTGCTTAATTAGATGCAAATGAGCTTTCCAGGAAGAGTCCAGTTCAGTTAGAGGCTGTCAAAGCGCATATAGAGTTCACTCTCTAGCATCATATCTCTGTTGACCAGAGGGTCACAGGGTAAAGTCCCTAGAGAAGGGTCTTTTGCAATTTCTAATGTTGCACCTCAGTGCCGGTAGTGATGAGAATAATGAAGGCAGTGGCAGCGGTTCTTGCTGTAATTTATTTTGTAGGTTGAACCCCTGGTATTGCATCCTGACTCTTATTTTATAGAGCAGTAATGTGTATGGCTGAACTACAACCTTTTTGTACCAAGACCCATTTATAAACATCACTGGCCAGTCCCAACCCAGTGCCCCTCACTCCTGACCCACTGCCTCCTGCCTTCAGGCCCCCAGTGTGTGGGGTGGGGATGGAGCAGTGGGGGGGGGCACCCAAGCAGCTCCAAAAAGCCCCTTGAAGGGTGACTCTCTGCCAGCCTGCAAGGGAAAAGCCACAGTTTCCCACATTGTTTTCCTTTAAAGGAGAATCCATTTTTAAAGTTTGTTTGCAACCCTTTCTATATTCTTGCAACCCACTTCTGGGTCATGACCCATGGGTTGAGAAACACTGTTGTGTGATGTGTGCTCTATAACAAAGAAAAGGGGACAAAGCAGGTGAATGCACAGCTGTCCTTGTGGCTGGGAAAGTAGTCAGGGTTAAGTAATAGCTTTGATAAGCAGAGTTGTTTCCCTTACCTTTGTCAGCTAATTACCAAGCTGCCTACCTCTTGTAATCTGCTAGGTTCAGATTATAGCCAGTACTGACATATTTCTCCAAGGGGTTTCAAGTAAGCTTGTAGCTCATTTTGTGAGATGTAGGAACAGACCATGCTCCTTTTTCAGTGACCACCGGGCATGGGTCAGTAA